AAGTTCATGGTCTTTTTATTACTTGCAGTAAAATCTGCAATCTTCAAAGCGGACACCTACTGAACATAAAGGAAGAAAAATAAATAGATAATTAAAAGAAAACTTTCGGGAGTAAGTGCCACTTTGCCGGAAGTTAGAAACTTTCACTTGCAAGTTTATATTAACAGTGGCAGTTGAAATAAGGAGTAGTAACGATACCGCCATTTGGGAGATACAGTCGGTTTGGCGAGAGAGATTTCCGGACCGTCCGACCGTAGTGATGTCGAGATAGACTTAGGGTTGATAGGAGAGTCGGACTCACCGGTCACATGGAAGATCTCGTCTGCCAGTTTGTAATGGTTGAAGGAGCAGAAGCTGTTCAAAGTCTCACTTGCCTCTTTCCTTCCCTCCGTTCCCACCTACCTGCCTACATACCTTTCCTGCACAACGGTGCAAACAGGAATGGATACACAACATGGGGTGATGTTCCCAGCCAGGGAAAGATTGACAGAGACGAGAACTCGCTGTATGTTTACAGTATTACTTGTTTAGACATTCCTATCGTTAAATGGAAAATTTGTATGATTTTCAAACAGTAGAAATTTCTCGGACAGCAAAGACTCGAACATGAAATACCGGATGTAACAACAAAATTTTCCAAATCTTGATACAGCATAATCGTTCATCCCACAAAATTTTTACTATCTAAAAAAAAGCCCGCTAATCTAACTGACTTTCTTTTCCTCAGGTTTTCAGATAAGACGTTTAGTCATCTTGACACCATTTGTCGTAAGAATAATTGAATAAGTCATTGAGTTATTCTAGTTAGCTAGAAAGAGAACAGGCTAAAATCGTTTTGTGTCAGTCCCACTGTCTTCCAACTGAGCAATGGTGAGAGAAAAAAAAATCATTCAGGCCTTCAGTATCGTACCAAAGTTTAAAAAAAGAGGGAACAGTAGAGAGGAAAACTGGATCAGAAGGTCACAACAGCAAGAGGGATCATCATTTCAACTTAGAGCTAAGAAGATCAATTAGAAAAGATCCAACTCAATCCATAAGATGTTTGGCACAAGAGAGAGGAGTTTCAGCTATGACAGTCCAAAGAACAGTGGAAAAAGATTTGAAAATGAAGTCCTAGGTGATACGTGTGAGACATATTGTTACTCCAGGACAGAAACTTAGAAGATTAGAGAGGGCGGAGATCATCTTGATTAAGTTGGAAAATGATCCTCGAATAATATATATATATTTCAAATTTATTTCCATCCTTCATGAGTTTCCGATCCTTATCTATGTTTAATTAATGATGAACATGTGATTTTCATTCATGATCGATTTCATCACAATTCTTTTGTTAAGCTTAAAGAGTAATTATAGAGTCCAATAGTGTTATAAAAACCTCGGAGAATTCCAGTAAGATAGCTTTAATCATTTCTAAGAGACAACGATTCAAATCTTAAGCTAACAAAAAGGACAATTTTACTTTTACACGATTTGGACAATTTTGCTGTTGCATCCGGTATATAATAACCTAATTCTGTTAATTACGATTGATATATTTATTCTTGGATGACTGACAATCTATTTCTTCTAAATTTTTAAGGTTCTTTGTATAATATAAATATATTTTCAATATTTGACAGTAACAAAATCGTTAGCAATAACATATAATAATTATTTCATGACGGCCATATTACTTATTCTTTTAATAAAAAATGCGTGTTATATTAATGAACTAGTAATATGTAGATACAAATCCTTTATTCTAGTGCATTTTCGTATAACACGGTTAGTCATCTGGACACCATTGGTCGTAAGAATCACTGAAAACATTTTTTGAGATATTCAGCTAGAAAGAGAACAGGTTAAAATCGTTTTGTGTCAGCCCCACCGTCTTTTTAACTGAGCAATGGTGAAAATGAAATCATAAGTGAAATGTGTGAGACACCCTTGTTACTCCAGGACAGAAAGTTAGAAGGTTAGAGAGGGCGAAGATCATTTTGTATAAGTTGAAAAATGATCCTGGAATATATATATATATATATATATATATATATATATATATATAAACTTTATTTCCACCCTTCATCAGTTTCCTATGTTTAATTAATGATGAACATGTGATTTTCGTTTATGATCGAATTCATCACGATTCATAAGTTAAGCTTAGAGAGTAATTATACATTCTTATTGTTCAAAGTAGAGGCAAATAGCGTTATAAAAACCTCGGAAAATTCCAGTGGGATATCTTTAATCATTTCTAAGATATAATCGTTCAGATCTTAATCTAACAATTGGACAATTTAGCTGTTACACGATTTGGACAATTTTGTTGTTGCACTTATAGAGTAAACCTAAAATTTAAATAAGAACATCTTTTGACGTGGATTACGCCGCATACGACCAATCGTTGCTCTAGTATTTATTACCCCGAGGCTGGTTAACCGCAGCTCTACACGCATTGGGTGGAAGGGACTGGAGTGGTGCAGGTATCTTATGGCCTTCTACTGGGCGAGTAAGTAACACGGCACGTGATAATCTCTCAGTATTCGCTGATTCATTTCGGTTTGTAACCTTGAACAGCGTCAAGAGTCTATCAACAGCAGTCTGTATGCGTAGAAGCAATGTCAAGAGGATGAAAAAGAGTCCTTGTCACCTTACCAAGGTGCCTGCGATGCAAGAAGTACTTTGGTCGCACAGCTTATGGGAATATGCACATATGTAGAAATATTAAAGTAAAATATGTGTCTATATAATCATGTAAATTATCTATACATACATACATACATACATACATATATATATATATATATATATATATATATATATATATGAACATATATATATGTATATATATAACATATATATATATATATATATACATATATATATATGAACATATATATATATGAATATATATATATATATATATGTATATATATGTATATATATATGCATGAAGGTTGTATAGAACACGCGCTACTTCCATATAGCTACTTAGAGATAGAACAGATAGATAGATAGATATGAATATAGATATATATATATATATATATATATATATACATATATATATATATATGAACAGAATTAGATAGATAGATAGATAGATAGATAGATAGATAGATAGGAAAAGAATTAGATATATGTGAACAGAATTAGGTAGCTAGGTAGATAATGATATCGTTAAAAGAGAACTGGGCTTTTAACTGTGGCCTTACACTTTGAGTTTTCGTCATGAAAACACACACCTATTTGCCCATACACACATACCTATAAGCCAGCAAATGTTTTTAAGTCAAATACCATTAAAAATGACAGATATTTTGTGTCGTTTAATTTTAATGATCAATCCTTCTCAGACCAATAATAAACATAAAACGTCTTATATAGGATATATAACAACAACACTTTCCTGGAGACTGATTTGAAACCTATCTGACCATATTTCCATCAGACACACATTAATACGCTGAATAAAATCATAATGACTTTAGATAGATACTCACAAATAATACCAAAATACTAAGTAAAATCAAATAGTAAAAATGGACTATGATCATCGAAGCAATACAAAAACAACTTTTAATAAATAAAAACGATTATAACTTAAGAGAACGCATCCTTAAATGCACCTTGCCAAAAAATTAAAATAAAATAAAATAAAATAAAAAAAACCGTTCTCTTCTGTCGCAACACTTTTGCTTACGTCACAACACTCATTAATTTCATCAGATATTTCTAACAGCTTATTTTAAAGGATATAGTTGTTAAACCATTTCAAAATTTTACTAAACTAAACCAATTTTCTCTAAATTGGAAAAGTCGATCATTAAAATTTATCGACACAAAAGCTATCTTGTTTTTAATAATACATTATGTGCCGATGGAAGAAATTCGAGAGATAGAAAAACAACAAAAATAATAATACTGAAAAGAAAACAAATAATATTTATTGTATATTATTAAGCCTTTTGACTAAATGAAAGCGTATTAAGAAAGATTTTTAAAAATCAAAATTTTCGGACACGCCTGCGTCCTTACTCAATGAGACAAGAACTAAAAAAAATGAAGTGGTTCTTTTTTACGTAAGAATTTGCTATGTTACTGGCCCTGACTTGGCATCTCGCTCTCAGTCACATTCCCAACGGCGTAATGTATCTTCCGTGTGATATTTCTACAAATATTTTCATGTTCTGATGAATTTACCTCTATGGTACCTAGACTTTATCAATTTCAGCGCAGTACTAGATTGGCGGCAAGGTCTCATCATTCTATAATTGAAATGGCTAGAGGCAACCGTAAGATCTTTTCTCGCACATCGTGCTTGTTGATTACATTTCCGGCGCTTCCCAGTTAACTTTGATCTTCAAAAAGTAAATGCAATATCAGCCTTCTCTCTTAATTATTGTTCTTTTATTTTTCTCTTAATAGTGTTTTATTTTCATATTCTCTCATTAATAAAGTAATGAAAATGCCGGATGAAAAATAAATCTATCTATTCTTTAAAAATATATGTATATATAATTATGTTCTGTGTGTATACATCCCTCAACGTACACACACACAAACACACATATAAACACACAATGTATATATGTATGGGAGCACTTCGACGTGGTGTAATCGTAAGCAAGCAAGCAAGATAAATTACGAAGAATAATGGAGTCGATCCTCACTGGGAGCCCCATATTATCGACCCCTTGCGCCACATCTAAGCTACGCTTCGAAAATCCCAATATATATATATATATATATATATATATATATATATATATATAATAATCAGTTCACCTTAAGGAAAAACGATGATGCCCGAAAGACGCAAGGGGCTACTGGGTGTTAAAGAGAGTGAGAAGACTTTAGAAAGAAAAGGAAACATGCACACGCATATATATATATATATATATATATATATATATATATTGCGAATATATTTCATTTGTTTTATGCATCTGCAAATACGCAGTTTCATTTATTTATTTAACTATCTATCTTTTCAGTATGTTCATATTTATCAGAACCTCTTCCTTTCTATCTATCTATCTATCTATCTATCTATCTAGCTAGCTAGCTAGCTTGCTTTTTCAATCTGTTAATATTTATCAGATTCTATCTGTCTCTCTGTCTATCTATCTTCAAATATTGCCATTAGATATGCAACCAAAGTACTTCTTGCATCATAGGCACCTTTGTAAGGTGACAAGGACTCCTTTTTACCCTCTTGACATTGCTTCTACTCATACATACTGCTGTTGATAGACTCTTGATGCTCTTCAAACTGAAATGAATCAGCAAATGCTGAGAGATTATCACGTGCAGCATTACTTAGTCGACCAATTGAAGGCCATAAGATGCTGTACTCCAACCCGCTGCGTGCAAAACTGTGGTTAGCCAGCGTTAGTTTCCAAGACATTATAAGTACGATATAAGTTATCAGATGTATTCAAAGTCATAAGTTATTCTTATTTGAGATTCTGTAGTTTTTACATTGAGGTCCAACCTGTACAAGTCCCAAGAGCCACTTGAGGTAGTGGGTTATAGAGTAAGAGACACAGTTTATACGGATAGGTGGGAAAGGTAACGGTTAACACTAGACTTGAAAATGTTACTGTAGTGATTGGTAAAACATCCTCTTGGGAGTCGATTCAAAGGAACAGTGGTTTGTGGAAAGAAGCTGTTCTAGTGGAACTTACATCTCAGCAAGGGAATATGAAGGGAATGAGGGTGGGTCACTATAATGTGCGTAGCATATTGGGTCTTAGCATTAAAGGTTAGAGCTGCTTTTGTGAGTATTTTCCATAGAATCAGCCATATGAGTTTTACGACACCTTGACTGCAAGAGAGGCGTCACAGAGTGGAATATAATTTGTCACCCAAAGGTACGTGGAGACGCATTTATCGAAACTGGAAATTGAGGACTAGTTAGCCATTACAAAGTATGACAACAGTACTCTATTTTCGGTCTGATCTGTGCAGTCGACAAAATCAAAATGAAAGAACGCGCATGCGCGAAATTAAAAATATAAAATGGCGACAATTTGCCCATCGCACACTATATATATATATATATATATATATATATATATATATATATATATATATATATATGTGTGTGTGTGTGTGTGTGTGTGTGTGTGTGTGTGTGTGTGTGTGCAGGTCTGTTCGTCAGTATTATAGGTGACAGGCATAACGTCACATGTGATGTTTCTGGTTCACTGAAAAGAAACGTAATCCTTTACAAAAGAAAATCGTAATGTCAACAATTTGTATGCGCCTCATGTCTGCCAATGTTGAGCCTCACGTTTTAAAAGTTTGTCCGGTTTAAAGATCCATAACGAATGGATGACTGATCAGATTCAAACGAGTAAAGGAGACAGAAAACTACGCCAAGATACGGAACGGAATACAGAAAACTACAGAACGAAAAAAAGGGACCAAATGCAGGGAGGCTAAAGAAGAATGGCTAAACAATAAATGTGCAGAAATAGAGAGAGATTGAGTAGCACCAACAAAGGAGATATATGCATAAACAAATAAGCGAACTAACAGGACAGAAGACATGCTCATCAACAGGCTGCATAAAATCAAAGGATGGAATACTCATATTAGAGAAGGAAAAAGTTCTTCAGCGCTGGAGGGAATATATCGGAGAACTCTTCCATGATGAAAGAGAACAACCATCAATATACAGAACTACTAATAGACCTGAAATTCTAAAAACCAAAATAGAAGCTGAACTGGTGAAATTGAATAGAAACAAAGTGGCAGGGCCAGACGGAATTGTAACAGAAATGCTGATAGCTTTAGATGATTTTGGCATAGACGAGATTACAGAAATAATAAATGAAACCTACATTAGTGGTGATATAGCAGAAGATGCCAGTAGATCTATTTTCATAGCAATGGCCGAGAAATCAGGCGGAAACGAAAGTGAACAATCAGACTAATGAGCCAAATAACAGAACTCATCATCCATATTCTGATGATTAAGAGCGCGCAGCAGAATCAGGCCAGAGGACAAGAAGAGCGCAGATTCGTTAAAGACACCGGAACAAGGAACGCGATATTCATGCTCAGAATGTTATCAGAAAGAGCAATGCAAATGCAGACGGACGTGCACCTATGTTTTATAGACTACGCAAAGGCGTTCGTCAAAGTACGCCACAAAGATCTGTTGGAACTGCTCAGCAACCTTGATATATTTGGGAAAGATACTAGAATAATCAAGAACCTATATTGGAAGCAAACGGCCTGCATGCGGATAGAGAATCAGTTAAGCAAATATACTGTCTTCTCACCGGACTTCTCCAACCTAAACAGCGAGGCAATTCTGAGAGAACTGGAAATACTACCAGGATTGGCGGCCACGATCTTAACAACAGAAGCCACGCAGGTGACAGAGTGCTGATAGCAGACACGGAAAGGAAACAGCCCCTCCTACAGAAGGTAGCGAAGGAGAGCGAGAAGAATGGAGTAAGCATAAACTACAAGGAGACAGAACGGATGGTCATCAGTAAAAAGATGAGTCCGAAATTCAATTGGGGGACACTAAAATCAAGCAGGTACGGAATTTTAAACATGTGGGTAGTGTTCTGACAGAGGACAGTAAGTGCGACTCTTAGATTCGAAGACGTATTGGGATGGCCAAAGACGCATTCCATAAGCTAGGCAGACTATAACGAGATAAGAGGATTTCGTTGGTATCAAAGAAAAGAATGCTAAGCTGCTACGTGATACCTATTAGAGATGGATAATGGCTACTATAATCCAAACACAAAAGAACTACGTAACCATAAATACGTCAGTAAAAGTTCAAGCCGCCATCACAAAATTCTAGATAATTTGCATAATTCAATACAAGTTAGATTATCCGCCAACTCCAGAAACAAAGAAATATTTAATTATGCTATAGATAAGGCTTTGGAATTTAGTAATCACAAGGTATCTGGAAAAAAAACAAAGATGACATTTAAGGGTCTTCTCGATCATAAAATACTTCCTAACAGCTAGGTCCCTAAAGGTAGTTATCAAGGGCCAGTCCTTCGGAGCCCTAGATCTCAACGCAGGCGCTCTCTAGGGGTCACTTCACGGGCCAACCCACTTTTTGATTTGCGTAAATGGTCTGCCTAAGAATATACTCTGATTATTTGTAAACATCTATGCTGATGATACGACTAGATACAGGCGCTTCTCTATGACTCTCAATGAGATTGGCGACTGGTAGGGAGATTAAATTTTATTTTGTTTCTACTGATAATGCTTGGAAGCTTCGCCGTATGACTTTGGCTAATATTAAATGCAGAAACAGAGCACTTCTCTAATTATTTCTGGCAGTTGAAAGATTCCAGCAAAGCCCCTTCAATTAAATGGGGTATAATGGCAAAAGCTAAACCGTTTAATGGCAAAGGGAATAAACGAAACCTCTGTTCAGTTGCAAAACTAATTATCTGACACCAATTAAATAATCCGGGCTTGCTAAATAAGAGAAATGAACGGATGATCACAAGTAGGTATAAAAAATAAATATCTTCTTAAGCACGTACACACAGATTCATTTTTCTATATTATCGCGGTTTAGTTTTTAGTGTAGTGTATTGTTTAGTATTTATTTATCTATTTCGTCATTAATTTATTTATTTATTTAGTATTGATTACGTATTATGAGTTATTACTTATTAGTTTTTAATATCTACTTTTTACTATATATCTTTTTATTTTTTATATATTTTTATAGATTTTTGTGGGTTTTTAAAAGCTTTTATAAGTTATGAGTTTTTCATATTTAATATATTTATTATTATGTTTTATATTAAATAAGATTAAGGTAGCTTCCTTCTATTATAATACATAAATAATTAATCGCTGATAACCTACTACTATAAAATAAAATGAAATAAAATTAATAATCCTTAATAAATACTTATCTTTTATGTTCATATGTTAATACCGATTATTTTAGATTTAATATTATGAGAAATATAATTAATTTAAAAAAATATTTTTGAAAAAACTATATCCCAATATAGATAGTGCTTAACTATGCCAGCATTAAGGTAAACTTTTCAAATTTTATATAAGTAACGGTTAGTATACACTTAGCACATGAAGATTGCATTTGGTATGAAACTCCGGTTGATACGACTGGTGTGAGATGATATGTATATTAATATATATATATATATATATATATATATATATATATATATATATATATATATAGTTTATAGCACTGTTTCAATAACACCAGCACTTTATGTGTAATTCTTATAATTACATATTTGACATGAGTTTAGAATAAATACATTGAATCAATAGCTTCATCTACTGCAAGGAAATTTGGTTCTCTGTGTCTTTCCAGAAAGTTTTTCTCGTCTTAGTCCATCCTTCAAATCAATAAATCAACCATGTATGGAATATTGCTGTCATATATGGTCTGGTGCCCCACGCTGTACGTCTCGAGCTCCCCGACAAAATCCAGAGACGAATATGCAAGATGATAGGTCCTGATCTGGCATCCAGTCTACAATCGCAGTCCCACAGACTTGCCGTGGCCTCCCTCTATCTCTTCTACAAGTATTTTCACGGCAACTGTTCCGACGAGCCTCTTTCGCTGCTTCCCGGACTGCATGAATTTAAGCGTGCTACAAGGCTGGCATCTCGGTCCCACCCTTTCACTGTTAAAACAGTTAAATGTAACCGTCGCTTCTACTCAAACAGCTTCTCCCCCCGAACTTCCTGTCTGTGGAATTCCCTTCCCCTTACTTGCTTCCCCGATGACTATAATCTTCAAATATTCAAGTGTAATGTCAATCGACATCTGACACCTTAAGCTTGTTCCCCATCCTTCTCTGTATCTTTTCTTCAGACATGCCTCTTTACACTTGTTCTCAATCCTCTGTAACCCCTTGCTAGTGGCACACCCGCCATGGTTGGGGTGAATTGCATCAATATATATATATATATATATATATATATATATATATATATATGCGTACATACAGTTATGTGTATGCGTGATACCCGCTTAGGCAATACATGACTGACGAGGCAGATTTTTCCCGCAGTAGCTTG